TCCATCCTAAATTTTCTATTCTTAGGCAACCATCAAAATCAATTTGGTAGGTCTCAACTAATATTTAAGTAGAAAATACCAGTACATTACACATAATAAGCACTGTTTTGTGAATATTTTTTCAGAGTTGCTATGCAGAATGTGGTCCATGTTGTAGGATTTGGGTAAAAGTTTCAATGGATTTGGCTGAGACTGTTATCAGAGGACTTGGAGTGGGAGACCAGAATTTAGAGGAAGGTAGAGAGAATGAGGGAGGGAAAAGAGATTGGAGAAAATTGAACAGCTTTTAATTACAGCATTTGTATTTGTTTTTATGGCCTTGGGGGAGAGAGCCAGTCTGGCTACTCCCATGCTCTTAAAATTCCTCAGACAAATGCTAGATACTAGGACTAGACAGGTCCAACTATGTAAGTGAATTCCTTATTAGATGAGAAAGAACAGAAAGAATTGTTCTTGTATTATTTGTATTTTCTACCCATTGTGAGGTGGAGGTTGGTGCTGTAGTGTTCATGTGCACCTGTACTGCTAGCTTACTGATTCTCAGTCTGGGCTGGTTTTGCCTCATAGGGGGCATTTGGCAATGTCTGGAGATACCATGGGGCCATCCCAACTGCAGAATGTGGGGGGCTTCTGGCATCTAGTGAATGAAGGCCAGAGATGCTGCTGTCCCATACAATAAATAGTTGTTTGGATCAAAATGTCCCTGATGCTGAATCTGAGAAGCTCTGTGCCAGTTCCCCCCAGCTGTAGAGATAAGGTATATAGGAGCTTTGATCTTCACCTTGTAGGGGAAATTTTGTGCTTCAGTGGAAAACTAGATTGTCTAAATTGAATAGGACACCTCTCCAGGTTATCTTATTCTATGAAAGTTGTTTTACAAATGTATGAATTATAATCAACAGCAATACAAAATAATCCTGTCTATTGACAAATCTGCTCTAGCAGAGGTTGACTTCCCTATCCCACTGCCAAACAAATTCTGTCTTACCTTTATAAGCACCTTCATTTTATACTCCACACAAATGTGTTTTATATCTCCTTCAAACTGGTTGCACCATCTCACCAGTTTCTCTATTAATGAATTAAATGAATCACAAACATGTTCATTTTAATCTGTGAGAGGGCCTCCCTGGTGGCGCAGGTGGTCAAGCGCCGCACTGTGAAGCTGTCTGCAGCTTCTCCAGTGCAGGTTTGATCCCGGCCGGCCGGCAAGATTCCCACATGGCACGGCAGACCTCTCCTGTCTCACCCACTACTCCCCTCAGCAGTGTATTTCGTCAGTCTGCCTGTTCTGTTCCCCGCTCTGTCTCTGGTGAATCCTCTCACCTTCCTGCACATCTAGCCTATACCCGGTTCTTGCATAAAAATAAATAAATCTTTAATCTGTGAGAGTCGTATTCCCACCCCCCCCCCTTTTTTTTTTTGAGAATTCTTTAGTAGCAGCATCATCTACTTTGGAGGTATTGAGGAAATGGAATCATTTCTATTGGAAGATGCCCTAGACTATGAAGGCAAGAATATGCGGTTTGCATGAATGTCAAATGACAGCCGTTTATCTCGATGGCTCATTGCTGTATTCCTCATGCCTGGAGCAGCACCTAGAAGTAGTAAGTGCCCCGCAAGTGTTGAATGAATAAATGAAGCAAGTGGGTGGAAATCTTTAGCTTAGGCTAAATAGATTGAGAAGAAAAAAGGAGACAGAAGACATGTGTTCTCTATAGGAGTGAAGAAAGGAATATTTTAGGAGAGGAAAACATTTGTCACTGGAATAGGGAACAGGCCCAAAGCCCCCCATTCCAATCTCAGCTTCCTCCACAATAAAGGCAGATTAGCAAGGAGCTCACAAGCTGCTGTCCACTGCTCCAGCTGCTGGGAGTGTGAGGGATGGACTGTGAGGGGTTCTGGTTCCCAAGCTGGGAAAGGGTTTTTGAGATGCTTGGGTCAGGATTGAAGAGGACTTCATAGACAATGTTGAGGGCAGGCAAGAAGTCAGCATCTTAGCACAAGAACAAGATAGACAGCTCCAGGGAGACTTCTCTAGGCATGACTCCCCAAGGTGCTAGGTTAGGAGTCTATAGAGGTTTTAAGAATGGGGTTTGAGAACAAAGGATTAAACTTTATTAGCTGTGAAAGCAAGGAGAGAGGCTAAAATCCATTTATTGTTGCTAATTGTGGGCACCAATCAGCTGCAGCTTGGTGGTCAAGCAGGGCTTGTGACCATCTCCAAGATGAACAACTCATAGAGACTGGGTGCCCAAAGCTCCAATTTGAACAGGTCTGGTGTCAAGGTCTGATTTCTCTGGGTCTGTAACTCCCATGTTTTCCATACCAGCCAGCTTAATAATCAGTGAAAAGATAGCTCAGGAATAGAAAAAATTAAGAAAAAAATGGTCTAAGGAAATTTATGGCAGTAGGTGTCTGGACTTAATCATCTAGATTTTTTAACTTCTTGCTTACCAACCTGTAGGAACAGCAAAATTTCTGTCCTTGAGTCTTGTCCTTTCCTTCTCCTAGGACACTTCCTGTCTCATACTTACTTGATAGGAAGAAATTTGTATTAAATTCTGTAGGGTGCTAGCAAATTTGGAGCCCCTTAACATTGTGGCTGTATTATCTGATACATATTGCATGAGTCAATCTGGGTAGTTGAGTATCATTTGAAGGAATAATTGGTAATGTCTCTTGTTAATGAACAGTGTAATTTGGAGATAAATTTAGTTATTTCAAAGACTTCTGGGTTGAAAATTAAAGACATTCATAAAATATGTAAGGTATAGCACTACCTATCTTTTTGGTCCTAGGTAAAATATATAGGGGGTGATACAAGGTAACCTTACATATTGGGATAATAGGAAATATGTAAAAAGTAGAAACTTAAGAAACCCACCACCTATATTCCAGCCCTGAAAAGTGGGAGCTTTGAGTTTCTGAAAAACCTGTCTCATTTTACACAATTCCCAAGTATACAGTTTGTAATTTTTTTTTTAGTTAGGATATCCAGTGTTGATTTTTCTTTCTTAGTGAAAACCTGGAGATATGACTAGTGTCTTCTCACTTCCCAAAGTTCCTTCTTTTGTTCCAAAAGGTCTTGCTCGATATTGTGACATCCCATGAGGCCTAGTTTCCCTAATTCTCAACCCTGTACTAGCCCCCAGGCATTCCCACTCTTCCTGAAGAGAATTCCATGGTCACATTCTGGAATGTCAAGAGTCCCACAGTGGCCAGCTTGGTGGTGAGCTGAGCTCTGCTGCAGGATCAGTGGCATGACCTCTTCAGAGCTCCTTTGCCAACTGCTGCTGTTCAGTTGCTCCAAGCCTGATGCATGGGTGGCTGGCCATGCTGATAGGAAGTATCAAAGCTTGGACTTGACTTTTTAGATGCAATACCAAAGGCATGTGTAATCCATGAAAGAAATAATCAATAAGCTGGATCTCATTAAAATTAAATTTTCCTGTGCTGTTAAAGAGAATCAGAAGACAAGCCACAGACTAGGAAAACATATTATCAAAGAGAGCGGATGTGGAGTTGAGGCATGAAATCTGTTACCTAATCTATTTTAGGTATTAGTTGTGTACCAAAAGTCCCTCCTCTCCAAAACATTACTTTCTAGAGAGGGGAAATGATCAAAGAAAGATCGAACAATGGGTAGAGAGGATGGTTGGAGGGCCAATTTAGAGGAGTTGAAAGACCATTCAGTCAGCTAAGTGGATAAGATAGCAGGGTGGGGGAGTGGAGGGGAGGGCTGAGCTTGCAGAAATGTACAGATGGAACAGCCGAACATTGAAGGGGTTGGGAAGTCCCAGCGTAGTTGTCGAGGCTGGAGACAATTAGCTACTTTTACTCCACTGACCTTTGAGTAGTTAGTGCTGAGGAAAGAATGGGGGAAAGATTGCCCCAAGAAAATGCACACAAGGTCACATATTTGCCCCCAGGCAGTCACAGCAATGGTCTGGTCCTAGACATTTTGTCCTGCATCTTAGCCAGAATTTTGTGATTTCCAAATTCTGCATAAAACCTAGGACTCAAAAGTCATCTCAAATGACTTTTCCTCCTGCAGATTAAGATGGGTATCAAAGGCCTGATAGTTTTAGGGGTCACAGCAAAGAGAATGCAGGCGAGACCCATACCAGTCTCTCGCAGAGAGTAGGGAGGCATGGAGTTGGAGATGAGTTCATGGGCAGACATGAGAGATTCCACAAACAAGGGCGATAAGCACAAAGATCACATGCTTTTTAAGGACCTTCAAACAGTTGATATAGCTGTGGTCGGCATTAGTTTCCTAGGCCGATAAACGGGGCCAATTAGAATCTTCCGCTCCGTACTGTTCTCTATATATCATGATACCTTATGGTTAGAGGGGGAAAAAAATAGAAAGTTAAGCTCAACAAAAAGTCCTTGTTAGCCAACGACGACTGCGGTATCTTCCGGTCACAACTGGGGGCCAGGATCGATCCGGACGAAGCATCAATCGTCCAAATGCAGGGAAACGTTTAAAGCTGGGAGATGGTAAAACTTATAGTCTTGTGTCTTAAACTCCAAAGGGCGCCACAGCCCCCAGCGCATTTCCCTGGTAAGAGTCTGGAGATGTCACTTGCAAGAAGGCCGCCATGTCTCCAGAAGAGCGACTACCTTGTGGTCTTGTCCACTGTCACGTTCTTACTGCAGGGGAAACCAACAAGGGTCTAACACACCTTTCTCCGAGGCAAGGGCAGACCAAAAAAAAAAAAAAATCCTGGGATCCACCCAAGCGCGGCGGAAGCACTGCTCCTTAGCGTGCGGAGCCGCCACTACTTGGGCGGTACTGCCGACGCAAGAAAGCCAGTCGCCGACAATTTGCGAATACAGTCGCGGAGCGTTGTGGGTTTGGTAGTTCAGCTTAGGGTGCGGCTTCAAACTACCTAAGTCGAAGAACTACATTTCCCAGCAAGGCCCGCGCTTCACTGGGCGCGGGTCGTGTGCGTGAAGATGAGACTTCCGGAAGAGACGGGGGCGGGACTGTGGCGGAGGTTGGAGCGAGGCGTCGGGATGCAGCGCCCCGGGCCCTTCAGCACCCTCTACGGGCGGGTCCTGGCCCCGCTGCCCGGGCGGGCCGGGGGCGCGGCCTCTGGCGGAGGCGGGAACCGTTGGGGCGTCCCGGGTTCCCACGTGCAGCCTCCTGGGTGTTCACAGTCCGGTACCTACGGCAGCACTAGTAGTACAAGCACTAGCAGCGGGGACGCGAACAGTGTCTACCCGGGTCCTTCTACGATGTCCAAGGCGGAGGAGGCCAAGAAGCTGGCGGGCCGCGCGGCAGTGGAGAACCACGTTAAAGTGAGCAGCTCCGGGCGTGGGGTGTGCATGTGCTTTGCATGATGGGCTCTGGTTGCGCGCCCAGGGCACTGCCAGGGAGCGCCTGATTCTTCAAAGGGCAGGGGCTGCGTGAGAGCAGAGAGGGTACGCACATAGCGCGGTTTTAAACCTCCTTCCCTGCTCCTTAAAAGTCTTTCGATGTGGGATCAGTTTGGGGCCGAGTCCCCTAAAAGTAGAGCTTTTTAAAGGCTTCTTATCTATCTGGGTAACAGTATGCAAAGTCGAATCTGGTGGTATCTGACGGTTAGAGTTAAGGCTGGAAGGTACTTGCTGTGTGAATTCCTTGTCAACAAATGGAAAATGGGTGAGTTTGGGGGCTGCTGAGAGGTCTTTACTTCCTTTACTGCCCTGGGAAGCCTCTGGAGAATTGGCTTGAAAATTGCTTTGAAATTTCATTCCAAGGAGTTTCTTAGCTTGGCGCGCATCCTCTTTAGAGTACCCGCCAGAGGGAAGAACTAACAGTCAAAAAAGACTGGAGCTTTACACCTCCTGCCGTTGACAGGGTCGGGTGGACGCTGAAAGTGTGGAGGATGCTGTACTTTACGGTTGGGGTTACAGCGATGTTTAGCTTTTAATCGCTGATATCTGAGATCGTCATCAGCTTGTTTGTTAAACATCTGGTGTGGTGCTGTTACCGGAGTCTTTTTCACTTGACTGGATTTTGCTGTAGCCAATTATCTTAATTACAGTACTCCGGGAGCCAAATGGAGTATCTCTGCCCTTAGGTGGAATTTTCTTGGCTTTATTGGCTTTTTTCTTTCTTAGGAAGTTTCTCCTGTAGTTCTTCACATTTGGCAATTCCTTAGTGTGCCAAATTATTCTACATAGATGACTTTTGATCCTCAAATTGCCTGGTTAAGTGGGTGGGGCAAGCGCTGTAACCTGTGGCTCAGCGTATTGTGTAGAAGATATAGATAGCTATGGACCCTCCAGAACCCAAACGGAGTGACTTCTGTTCCAGTGCCCTTCCACCAGTTCCACATCCACCCTGTTCTGGTGTGACGTGTTCCAAGGTTGGTTAGTGGTAGAATTCATGGAGATAATATAAGATGTGTATTCTAGCTCTACATTTTGGAATCAGTGCCTTAGCTGCAAAAGTGGGATAATAAGATGCAATTTATAAATGTTTGGAAATAAAGTGAATAGTTAATGGGCAGATTAATGAACTCTATAAAGCCGCATATTCTAATTTCCACATTAACCTATTTACATTAATATTTTGTGGCACATGTTTCCCTGACCTTTGTATTATAATTATGGATTCGTTAAATAAAAATCTGCAACTCCCTGCCCCAGGATAGAGTCCGAGATACAGGATTACAGGCACATTATTCTATGAAGTTTCCAGACAATGCTGGAGAGATCTCTGTTGGTTTTGGGGGGCACCTCACTCCAATCTCAGTTGCACCCTTTCTCCTACCAAACTTCTTTCCTAAGACACAGCACTACTTGGACTTTGTGTTTTCTGCTTTTTAACATTAATGTACTCATTTCATTTGTTTACCCAAGTATTTATTGAGTGCCCAGTCTGTATCAGGCAGTGGGTGTGGCCAGATACATAGCTACAGATAGTAGGAGGTGAGTCAGACCTTGGATACATTTTGAACAGGAAACTAACTCAAATCCATGCATTTATTGAGCATAGTCATCATGTGCCTAATGATGCTCTCACTAGGGAGTACCTTTTGCCTCATATAAGGCCGTGTTTTCTTTTAGTACTTTGTGTCTTGAAATTGTTTACTCACTTGTGTAAGTTTATACAGGTAGGTTTTGTGCCAGGTCCTGTTGATTCCACCTTTGGAATGTTCTCAGAGCTGACTCTTCCCTTTGACTGACCATGTTTTCTGATACAGGCTCTCTTCACAGCCAGGGGATTGCAGCTGCCCTCTCCCAAGTGATGTGTGTCATTTTCTGAATGCTCTTGTCACTGTGGCCCTCAGGTGACCTCATCCTAACTTCCTCATAACACATCTACAGCAGCTATTGAGAAGTAGGTACTGAACCTGGAATGCACAGATAAGAGGCATGGCTACTCATCCTTAAGCCCACAGTCTTGTTTCCTCCTATGCTCCTTCTCCTCCCTTATATCAGAACATTGGAAAAGTCAGACTACTAGTATATAGTGTGTTTTAATATTACGACCTTCCACCTCGAATGTGCTTTCTTTTCCTCTGTCTTTGCCTGATACATCATGTATATCCTTCAGGGTTTGATTCAAAGGTCCTTTCTTCCTTTCAGTTTTTTCTTAACTTCCTAAAGAAAATTTCTCCCCTTAAATTTTGTACCACTTTATACTCCTTGGGTGCTTTATGCTGGTGTCTTGTGTTCTAGTCATCTTTGTCTCTCCCATCCCCCTAAAGGGTAAGCTCCTGCAAGATAGTTAACCTTCTCTTCATTCAATGTTAGTCAGAGTTGTACCAGTCTGATAAATGTTGGTTGAATTGTGTGGAATGTGGGCACAGATATGGAGATCGTGGGGTTATTGGTGATGCTTTGCTTAGAATCTTGGGGGTGTAGGGTTTCTAGTTCCCTGGCCCATTGGTGTTCTGCTTCCATATGGAAAATACTTCCATGCTGGGTGGTTGGGAGAGAACTTGGAGAGTTCTCAATTGAATCCTTTGGGTAGGTACCCTGGGCTCAGATCTGCCTATTTCTGGTAGTCTAGCCACTCAGGATGAGTGCTATGCAGGGCCATGCTCTCTTGAAAGTTAATAGTCCCCCTTGTTCTTGGACTTGGCATGAAGAAGTTGGTGAGCATTCTTTCCAGTTGGTCAGAGGATTTTCAGTTATCCCACTAGATAAGATGAGTGAAATTCTGATACTGCACATATGACATGTGGTTTAGTATTGCTTATTAGAAGGTTCTGCTTCTCCAGCACAGCCAAGTTAGCTGCCTTTGTTGGACACCTCTGTTTGGCTTTGACTAGGACACTGATTCCTGGGCCAGTCACTTGATTCCAGCGTGTAGCGGGGCCATGTGGTTGAAGAGCGCTGGACCTGGCAGAACCCCTGCGATTCCTGGCCTCCTCCAGAAGCTGAGGGAGGAGTCTTACACAGTTTGTCTGACTCACCTAAGTTCATCCGTGTGTCACCAGCCTGCTGGGTGACATGAGTGTCTGGCTAAGTATGGTAATGAGGACTCAGGCACTTAAATTACAATGTAGCTAGAACTCTCAGGTCAGGTGTTAGGGTTAGGTTGAGCCTATCCAGGCATTAATAAGTCAAGGGATTTTCTAGTTATGTGAGATTTTTAGGTGTTCAAATATAAAGCTGTTGTGAATGTTTCTGTGTTGTAATCTACTTGTTCTGAAGACCTTGCTGTTCAGATTTGCCCAGATAGCTAAAGGACTCTTGCATCCACTGCTTTTGATCTCAGGTGGACTCCTGACCTAATAGAGCTCAGCTCTGAGTGCCATTGGTGTATTTGGTAACTTTGGAACAAGCAACTGTTAAAGTGATTTCCCTTAGGTGGTGGGTAAAGCCCTCTGTAGGTTGGAGCAGCTCAGCTTGGGGGGGCATTAGCTTTTGGTTTGTTCCTTTTTGTACTCCGCCCACCTGTTGGCCATTCTTTCCAGTCTTTTCTAGTTGTGATGAGAAAATGTATTACTGAGCAAATGAATACAGTTGGAGATGTAGTCTCACTTTGGGACGGACCTGATCCGTTATGGGGCCCAAGGGACATTTTGGGTATTCCTGTGGCCGTCTAGGGATTTTGGCTTTAACCCTCAATTTGTCCCAAGGGGCCTTTAGGACTTTTCTTCCTCCTACCAAAGAAAGTTTCATTATGGGTTTCCCTTGCCAGATGAGTTGTTAATCACTTGCTGGAGCTCTTAAGACATTTGAAATGAAATGTTTTAATAGATTGAACTTCCTCAAGTTGCTTCTTCAAAGTGAGGTTGTATAGTGGGGTTGTTTCTATTGTCCAAAGATGGTCTTTAAAAAGCTAATCTTCTGATAATTATGCAGCTATAAAATAAACATATCAAATATTTTATTTAACTCAGCAAATAAAGGAGGGAACTGAAAAAGATGTTACAACTTGTTATAGGAAAAACAAAAAGACAATAAATCTATACCCAGTGAAGAAATGTCAAAATAAATATATGCCATCTGTAGGGTAATAATTTGCATTTTTATGGACAAGAATTGTTTACATTTTTAACAGTTTTCTACAAGTTTCTCTACAGAATTGTGAAATGGCCTAGTCAAGGCAGGCAGGATCAGATAATGACTTGCGATTATAGCCGTTCATTGAAAGGACTTTCAGATAATCGCTTGCTCATTTCTAAGTCTTAAATTTTTCCTTGCAGCGTTGAATGAATTGCTAAAGTGAGTATAATGGAATCTCAAGGTCACAGGGCTTGATTGTGAGATTTCACTTATATTAAAATTTAAATCTTCTTGAGAGGTACTTAATGGTAGCTGTTGCTTTGGTTTTTAGCTCTTTTGCCTGAGATTGGCAGGTGATTGCTCCCAGGGAGTTGCTTGGGTACTGAGCTCCAGATAGTTCCTCTCTGTGCATACCCTGACCTTCTTTTACTGTTTGTGGTTTAACTGACCTGGGCTGGACTCCTACCCTGCCCTTGGTCTGCTCATCGTTACCCTCCCCCTTTCTTAAGGTAGCAGATACTGTGTGACTCCTGTTTCTTGGTCTTTGTACCCAGGAAATACTTTACATTTATTACAAATCCTTTTGCAGATGAAGACTGTTTCTCATGTTCCTCTTCCCATATTTTCTGAGGCAGGCCAGTGTATAAACTGAGCAGTAACTGGACAGATACTGATACAGTGTGCTATTTCAAGGTTATTTCACACTCTTCTCTCTTCTACTCACATTGGGAGAGCTCTTGACCATGGGCCTGATGTGTTCCTGAGGCTCCCTGTGATGCCACCCACTTGTGGTTGGTCCCCTGCTTTCTGGATGTTAAGCTTATGTTAAGCCAGAGACTTCTGCTTTCTGTTCTTCAGGTATGCCAGGCTCTGGTGCTTTTACTGGGCCCTTCCTTTTCTTTCCTGTTGCAGAAAAGGAACTGAGGCTCCAGATGAGGAACTGAGCACCCCCCCCCCCTCACCCTCGCCCCCTGGGATTGGCCAGGAATCTTTGAGTGCTCATGTGCAGGCCATGTTTGTGAAACTGACTATATATTGTAAGTAAGCCAGGCCTTTTGTCTGACAGGCTATAGGAATTTTAGTTGAAAACAATAGGCCCAAGGTGGAGTTGCTTGTGTTAAGCCCCACATCACAACACTGAGACTTAATTATACCTACCAGTTCTCCAGAAATGCTATCCTAAACCAGTCAGTCACGACTCATCTAACTGGTACTAGTGAGATAATCTGCCTGATAGACCCCTGCCATGCCCCTTGGAATAACAACTGCTTTTTTTTGCCTAGAGTATGACCTTCTTGTTCCTACTCCCTTCTAGTTAGACAATTCATTTTGTACAGCTTCTTTCTCTCTGCTAGATTGATTGATGCCTGATTTGACCTGATTTATGCTCAGATAAACAGCATTTTTAATATGCCTCACTTTATCTTTTTGCAAGAAGAACTGGTGATGGCAGTGTCAGAGGTAAAAGGAGAGTGTCTCTGCTAATAAACTGCCACTGGGCACTAGGATAAAATACAGTTTTAAACTCCATGTTGGTGAACTGCTGTTCATAGTACAGATGACCCTTGAACAACTCCAGTTAGGGTTGGTGCCCCACCTGCATTCCTGCCGCATAGTCAACCATCCAAATTTAACTGCAAATAGGCTAATATTAACCGGAAGCCTTACTGATAAAAAACAGCCAACACATATTTTGTATGTTATATATAGTCTTTTTATGATAAAGCTAGAAAAGAAAGTTATTTAAGAAATTATAAGAGAAAATACATTTCCAGTACTGTACTGTGTTTATCCACGCTGTAAGTTTTAGTTGTCTGTTTATAAGAAAAATCTATATAAGTGGACTGTCATAGTTCAGGCCTGTGTTACTCAAGGATCCATTATAATTTTTTTTTTTTTAAAAAGCCTGATACTTTTGGTTTTTTTTAAAAGATTTATTTATTTATTTATATATACGAGTACTGGGCACAGTCAGAAGCGCGGGAGGGTGAGAGAACTCACCAGAGCCAGAGCAGGGAGCAGAACAGGCAGACCTATGAAGCACACTGCTGAGGGGAGCAGCGGGCACGGCAGGAGAGGTCTGTGCACCATGTGGGACCCTCACTGGCTGGCCAGGGATGGAACTGGTGCTGCAGAGGCTGCGGGCAGCTTCGTAGCCCAGCGTTCAACTGCTGCGCCACTGGGGAGGCCCACTCAAGGATCCATCATAATTTTATAATTCTAGGAAGTTGGCTGAAGGAGTAAGAGATGGTGTTAAGTTTTGCTTTTTACTCCCCTTTTCTTTGGCAGAATAACCAAGTACTGGGAATTGGAAGTGGTTCTACAATTGTCCATGCTGTGCAGCGAATAGGTATGTTCTTGGGCTCTCCACTGGGTATTTTGTGTGGAGGGGAGGAAGTAGGGTACTGGTTTGTTTCCTGCCTAGGTGACTCCACCAGTATGGAGTTGGGGAGACAGACTTCCTGCCTGAGGCCAGTTGAGTAATTCTTCTCTAAGAGAGGGATTCTTGGACCTCTTCAGACATTTCTGAGGGCTACCCCAGGTTTGTTTTCTCTGCTGAACTGATGGGGAAGAGCTCAATTTTAATTGTCATCTGTGGCTCTGTGGGTGGCCCTATGGACCCTGGGCAACCCCTCTAAATGTGGCTTCCTCAGGCAATCTGAGGCAAACAAATCAAGCTCAGCACAGACTTTCGCTCCCCAAGGCCCCTTAGTGGTTGTGAGGTTCCCAGATTGATGACTGCTTTCTGTAGGTGCTGACTTCATTCAGATTGTGGAGTCTGAGTGCTTAGCAAAGTCTCAGGAATTGTCAGCTCAAGTGGCTGCTCAACAGGTTTTACTGCCTTGTGTTTGTAAGAACAAAGCTCAGAGGAGGGACTTGCTCTAATGCTGATCTCTTCTAGATGCCAAGGGGCAGTGCTCAGGAGACAAAGTCCAGGAATACTTGGCCTTTAAGGAGTGGTTGTGGTGGTGGTGTGAACTTCTGGAGCTGCCTCATTGGCCTAACAAGGGCTTCAGTATTGCACACCTTTCTACTTTAGCCCTGAGTGTGCGCAGGATTTCAGGACAAAGGAATAACTATAGATTTCATATTAGTGGCATCCAAGCTTCTCAAATTGCACATCTAGTGATTAAAAATAAATGAAATTTTAATGACAATTTTTTAACGACCTGTTTTTTTTTTTTTTTTAAATTAAGTTTCCCTGAAAGGTACAACTCCAAAATGAGTAAATAAAACCCCCTTTAACTGTCCTGTTAGGCCTACACATGATTATATTTTTTACTAAAAGTAAAAGTCAAGTTCTAGCTTTTCCCTATAAAAGCCAATCTGGGAGGTAGTTAAGACTGTGGTGCTAGACTGCCTGGGATTCTATCCCAGCTCTGCCACCTGTTAGCTGTGTAATAGTCCAGTAACCGTACATCTCTGTGCCTCAGTTTCCTCATCTGTAGAATGCGTATAATAATTGTAACTTGTCTTTGGGTTGCTAGGTTTAAAATGGTTTCTGTGTACAAAGTTCTTTGAATATTGCCAGGCACATACGAACAGCAAACAATGACATTGCTTTCTGTGGTTAGAACCTAAACCTCCTTAGGCATTCAAGTGTTCCTCTCTTGTGTGATATGTGACATATGTTCAGCAACTTTTCTACCAAGGGTAGGGACACAGAAGGAAAGGCAGCTGTCAGTGAGGGGTAGACCTTTCCTTTTCTGTGGGATTTGAGTAAATGTACACAAGACATGAAAAATAGAGTGAGGAGAATGAAAAAATGCCAACATAACTTTTGTCTCCACAGCTGAAAGAGTCAAACAAGAGAATCTGAACCTCGTCTGTATTCCCACTTCCTTTCAGGTATGTCCTGTTTTCCTTTTTTTTCATCTTGACAGTTGCTGCTGAATCTTCTGGGTCCCTGAGGACATGGAGGTGTGGCTTTGAGTTGTGTATCAGGTTCTACTTGAGAGGTGACAGCAGGAGAGTTTATTTACCAATAATTGATTGCTCCTCAGAAGTGTGGTTTTAGACTCATTCATTTATTCACCCAGTGACTATTTCCTTGTGTCTTGCGTTAGGCATGATAAAGTATGTAAGATGGCTCTGTGTCTCTTCTTGAGGAATATTATCTGCATTTATAGATTAAAAAACTGAGGTTAAAGGGCATTAAGTGATGTGTTACTAATGCAAATGCAGCATTTTGAGTTCATGTCAGATGTTCTTTTACCATAAAATGAAAGCAGTGGAGTGAATTAAATAAGGAAAGAAACGAATTAAATAAGGAAAGAAACGGAAGGGTAGATTTTGAAAAGGGGAAGAAGAGAGGAGCTCAGATAGACCCACCCCTTTGTCCCTTATCTGATCGTTGTGGGCAGGGGTATGTGCATAATTTCTCATTAAATCTGTCAGGGTGTTACTGTGAACTAGAGTAAAGGATGAATTTGTGGAGACTGGTGCTTAGTTTTGGACAGCGAGGTCTTAGAAATCTTTCCCAGTCCTGTAGACTCAGCACTGGCACCTGCAGTGAATGCTGGTGAAGGAAGGCAGTGGTTAAGGGGGCCTTGAGGTTCCTTGAAAACCAAGTGTGTGCCCCAGCTTGCGGGAGTAGGGAGTGGTGGAGGGAGTCCAGGTAAACAGGATAGGGAGTTAGAGTGGTGCATACAGTCAGAGCTGCCTTGAAATTAAGTTTCTTGGGGACATGAACAAGATAGGTAGACACCCAGGGGCCTGAAGATAATACTGAAATTCCTGCTTCTTGCTAGGAAATCGGAGGTTTTACATTGCCTTTTTTTGCCTTTGAAATCCTGCTGTGGAGGAGATGCTTTTGAAGTTGATTGTGATAGGTTTTCTTGGTCTTTTGAAAAGCTTACTGTCTAATTTTACCAAGTGACTTGATCATTTAGTATTTTTATTTCTTATTTAATGAATTGATTTTGGTGTATATTTTTAATTAGTTATGTATACACATGAATTGAAGGATCAAATAATTCTTATTTTTAAATAAAGCTAACCACATACTCCCTTTATCCCTGACCCTTTACAACAAACATTTTTTAGATAGGCTTGCTTTTAAAACTTTTAATTGGGGCCTCCCTGGTGGCATAGGGGTTAAATATCAGCGGTATCACTGCTGTGGCTTGAGTTGCATCCCCAGCCAGGGAGCTAACCCACATATGGCACAGCAGACCTCCTGTCTCAGCTGCTGCTCCCCTCAGCAGTGTATTTCAGTAGGTCCACCTGTTCTGCTCTCCACTCTGTCTCTGGTGCATCCTCTCACCCCCTGCATGTCTGGCCTACCCCAGTTCTTCTTTGCATAAATAAATAAATTGTTAAAAAAGCCCAACTCTTTTAATTGATTGGACATTTGCTCCAATGTCCTTGCTTTCCTTGCTATATAAAGTTTTTTCTTTTTTTTCAACTTTAGGTAATAATTCTACACTGAATAGATGGCAAGAAGATGAACATTTGGTTATCTTTTACAGCCTTGCTGTCATAGTTCACACACATACTTCTCTCTCAGTCTTCTATTACAGTTACATTTTGGTGAGGCCTTACTTAGTATTTACAGAATTGTGACATTCAAAGTAGCTGAACTATGTAGTGCCTTGTGATGACTACACTTTACCTGTCCACTTATCTTTCCAAAAGTTAAGTAAATCTTGCCTTTGTTTTTTCATTTGCTTGGTGGTCTGTGAAGTACTTACTAATCCAGCCCCAGGCTCACCCAGAGGGGAAAATCTTCTTTATAGTATGGTGGGGATTCTGCTCCATCAGTTTCTTCTTTTTGGCCAAGTTTCTCTGAGTCTTTAGGATTGGTCCATAGTGTCTGCTCTGGGCTGTTGTCTCTAGTCTCCCTTCACATGCAAGTCATTTTCTTCTCTTTTTTCCTGTTTTGAATCACCCTGTTTGATCCTGTTCTCCTCATTCCTCTCCTATGCCCATTTTTGTTGTGTTTCCTTTTTAGTTTTGAAGCACATCCTTCAGGTACATGGGATACAAATTTTTGTTGACACTTTAGATGTCTGAAATGTCTTTAGTCTCTCGAAGTCAGTTATTTGACTCAGAGAATTCTGTGTTGTTCTTGGTGCTTGTGGTCTGGTTTATCCTTTTGTCTTTTAGGTTTTGTCTTTTTCTAACCAGTCTATTGAGCTTGCTTTGCTCTCATATTTTCATTTTCATATTCTTTTTGCTCTCATAATTTCAAATAACTTTTTTCCTCCCCCAATTTTTTGTTCTTGCTTTATAGATTTACTTTTTTCTCACCTCCCTGAGATATTACTGATAATTTTAATATATTTTTTAATTGAGGTAACATTGGTTTACAGCATTTTATGTAATTCAGAGCCATAGGATCATACCGCCTGAAATGCATGTCACCATACTACACACCACCAAGGCACTCACAGTCCTCCACTATAGTCCATTGTGCGCCTTCTCTTTTTTTGTCCCTTCCCCCCTTTGTAGCCTTGATTCCATGATTTTCTAGTGTTATTAATTTGTTTTTCTCTGACCCTTTGTTTCTTTACATTTCACATATAAGTGACACCATCTGGTATTTGTCTTTTTCCTTCTGCCTTGCTTTGCTTAACATTGACCCCTTCAGATTCCATCCATGTTGTAAGAGTTCATCTTTTTTTATAGCTGAGTAGTATTCCATTGTACAGATACCACATTTTTTAAAATCCAAGAAATACCTTTGACTCTGGGCTTCATTGTATGACTTGCTTTATCAATAAAGTGTGACCAAATGGTATGCCAGCAGAAACTGGAAAAGTGCTTTTGCATTGAGCTTGCCCCCTCCTGAGGCTGAAAGCATTCAGCTACCGTGTGAACAAGCCCAGGTTCATCTCCTGCGGGGTGAGAGGCTAAGTGGCTCCAAGTGTGTAAGTGAGGCTATCCTACACCAGCCAGCCCAGATCAGAGACTTCCCAGTTAGTGCGTGGACTCACAAGGTTCAATAAATAGCTCTCTTTTATAACTCTGAGTTTGGGAGTAACTGCTATGCAGCCAAAACTCCACTGATGGAGTACTCCTGTCTATAACTGTGCCTGGCAGCCCACTCGTGACACCTGCTATTTGACTTTCTCCAAAGAGTAAACATGCTGGTTTGGAAGTAGTGGAGAAGGTTATGTAGATGTAACAGGTTCTTAAGTAAATAGATTTTAGTCAGTCTTCTTTTTATTCCTGTCATGTCCACTTCCTAAAGTTCATAGTGCCACTGAGTCCAGAACTTTTTGGGAGGCTCTGTGCTTTTATTTTTGGTTACTTTTTAATTTTCTCCACTATTGGCTTTGTCTTTCTCCTTTTCATTTCTGCCATTTGCCATTGCCCATCACAGGTCCAACTTTAAAAGTTGTGCTATTTCTTCTCTTTTCCATTTCTGCCTTTAAGAAAATTTTTTTTATTGTAGCTTTAGAGAGGTTTTTGGGAAGAGCTGAGCTAAATACAAGTGTTCAGGTTGTGTTAATTGTATTAATTGTATTAATTGTATTAAGTGTTCAGATTGTATTAATTAGAAGTTTGATCCTGTGTGTTTAACATAGTATCCTCTGAACCTACTTTTGTTTAATGGTGGTTGTTAATAATTGTGTATGCAGAACTGGAAATTGCTGGCCAATTCTGGTTCATTAGGTGAAGAGTCACAGGGCTTTTAAAAATTCACTTGTTCAGAGTTACTGGGTTTTTTTCCCCCTCATGCCCAAACTTATTTTGCATTAAATTTAATCAGATGCAGTCTCCTGAAATGATTGAAAGAAAAATAAAAATATTCCATGCCCTCCTTTTAGCATAGGTAAACCTATAGGGTTTTAGAGGAATTTTGTAGATTTTCCCTTTAAAATTAAGAACTTTTAGAAGAAGAAAAAGAAAGCAGTTAAAAGTCAGTTCTGGTGGAAGCCCTAATTAACAGTAGTGTTTATTGTTTACCCTGACTCTGTCTACCTGGTTAGGACATAGAGAGGAAAATACAGTTTCAAGGTTTTGTTGTGAAATTTTTGGAAGATGGCACCCTTAGCTTGCCACATCCACTGTCCTTAATTTATTCAAAAGAGTCACTGGGGCACCAGCTGTTGGACTGAATGAAAGGCATTGTTTCCTGCTCTTTTTTTTTTTCAAGAAGCAGAAGGTAGTTTTCCTGTTCCCTGTACTTTAAACTTTAAAGAGCTGGAAGGGGCAGACTTTGGGGTGTTTACTCCCTACCCTCAGGAAACCCCTTAGCTTGTGAGCTTGGACTTGTCAAGAAGATTCTGCTCTCAATCTGGGACTGTGTTGGTGCTTCTGAACCAGTGACAGGCAGTTTTCCAGGGTTGGACTGTTGTGTTAAATTCAGTATAGTCATTTTCTAGGGTTCATATAACAAGAAACCACAAACTGAGTGACTTAGAAAACAGAAACTTACTGTCTCTCAGTTTTGTAAACTGACAGTCCCAGATCAAGGTGTCGATTCTGTTGGAGACTGTGAAGGAAGCCAGACTAGCCTCGTGTTTTTCTGGCTTTGGCTTGGCTTATAGGTTCATTGCCCTTATCTCTGCCTTGTTCATGTGGTGTTCTCCTTGGTTGCATCTGCCTCTGTGTCCAGATTTCCCCATCTGAGAATACCAGTCATGTTGGACTAGGGCTCACCCTCTGACTTCATTTTAACTTGATTATCACCTTAAAGGTCCTATCACTAATTATGGTCAGACTGTATTTGGAGGATTAGAACTCCAGCGTATCTTTTCTTAGGGCAACACAGTTCAACCTATAACACACAGGAAGGGTGCAGCCCATGCCATTTGTGACTATGACTGTTCTCTACGTGCAGGGCTGTCTGCAAGGGACTGGTGGGGAGTCCAGTCAGAGATGGGGAGAGAGAGAATTGGAGAGCCTGTTGATGGAAGGAATCTTAAAGGATTCTACCCCTGTGGGATCATGAGGCCATTGTATAAGGTCTTCCATATTGTGAATGGGGATGAGACTGTTTAAAGGTGGTACATGCAGGTCTTGTGCTTGTGTTATTGCTTACTGTTTGGGAAGAGGAGAGTCCCTGGGCTTGCAGAAATTGTGGTGGGGCTGAGAGATCACAGCATGCCCCTCCTACCACACAACGTAGATAACATCTACCTTCTGGCCTCCTTTCATGTGCCAGACTCTAGACAGACACTGGGCAGAGGACTGGCAGCAGTGGTGAGTAGGCAGAGTTGAGTTGGAGTTGAATATAGTGATCACTGAGGGTGTGTATCTTTTTATAGGGATACGAGGCTCCTTGGGCATAGGCGGTGTTGCTATCAGCACTGTCCAATTTGATGCCTGGCTGTTGGTAGGCACTCTCCTGGGTGAATTAATGCTACATGTATGTGCATCTTTTTTATACAAATGCATGGTAGAGAAGTAGAGATCATGTATGTTTTAGAGGAAGGAACCTACTCCTTGCTCAAGAGATTGGGGGGCTTCCTGGAAAGGATGACTGTTGAGTTGGGCATGAAAGACATTACTGGCAGGAGGCACAGGACATTTCAGGTAGAGGGGGAAATGCCAAGACCTCAAAGAACTCTAGAAAAATTATTATTAATGGCATTATTAGTGTCACATTATATGTGATGAGACAGAAAGGGAGGGGAAGAGAAGAAGGTAGAGAGAGGGGAGGCCCTGAGGGATGGAGTCATGCTTGCTGCTACTTCCCATTCTTCTCTTCCTCCGCCCCCACCTTGAGAAGTGCCTTCTGCATCCCTTCTGCAGCCTCATAGACCCACCCTGGGCCATAGTGGCCAGGGATCACCCAAAGGCATGCATGCCCTGAGGTGGGGATCACTGGGCCTCATCCTGGAGGCCGCATTTCAGACATTCCCACTTTTTTTTACTTCCTGGGCCTCATCTACTACTTTTGAAGAAATCTGGGAACTGAGATCAAATCCAGCAATACAATTTTTTTAAATTTAAAATTATCTTTATTAAGATAACAGTTTACAACACTGTACATGTATTAGGAGTCTAGATTTAGACCTCTTCAAATGTACGTTATCATACCACATGTAGCGCATATGCCCCAATAATCTATCATAGTCCATTAGGCCCCCTCCCCACTTTACTTCCCACCCTCACTCCCTCTTCTGGTAGCATGAATTCTGAAGTCCAATTAAACGGTTTGATTTGTTTTGGTTTTATATGTTCCTTTACTGATTTTCTTTATATTCCACATTTAAGTGAAATCATCTGATATTTATCTTTCTTCTTCTGACTTACAACAATATCATTTTATTTTATATAATTCTTACATCATTTTTCATTTTTGCACAATGTATGCATTTTCATTTTGGTTATATTCCCCATACAATTACACCCTCTTATTTTGACCCTAATCCTTCCTCTCCCCCCTCCCTCCTATTGTGTCTCTGGTTTATAGTTGCTTGTTGATTTTGATTTTTACTTTATTATAATTAGTCTTTTTCCTGGTCCCTTATTTAGGTTTTCTAGATTCCTGCTATGAGTGAGACCATCTCTTTCTGGCTTATTTGCTGAGCATGATCCCTTCCAGCTCCATCCATGTTGCTGCAGATGGCATGAGTTTATCTTTTTTGATTGCTGAGTAATATTCCATGGTGTATATGTACCACATCTTCTTGGTCCAGTCATCTGTTTTTGGGCATTTGGGTTGTTTCCAAAGCTTAGCTATTGTAAATAGTGCTGCTAGAAACACAGGAGTGCAGGTGCCCTTTTGAATTAATGTTTCTGGGTTAATACCTAGGAGTGGAATTGACTTACAGCAATACCATTTTTTATGTTTTTTCCTTTCATTATATATTTTTCTTTAATAAGAACACAGTCATTTTTTTTAGCTTGCTTTTTTCAGTCAGTTTATTTTAGCTTTTTATTATGGAAAACTTCAAAAAGAATAAAGAACAATATAATAAAATCCATATATCTAATTGAGTTTCAACAATTAACGGTTCATGACCACATTTATTTTATCTGTACCCCATTCTCCTCTACCTCAGTTATTTGAAAGAAATCCCAGGAATAATATAGTTTCTTTCTTTTTAAATTGAAGTAAGGTTGCATTGTATAAGTTTCAGTGTGCATCATTGACTGGGCATAGTGTAATTTCGTTGTTTGTATTGTAGTATATCTTTCTGAAAAATAGGGAGACATTTAAGCATCTCAACAACATTAAAATATTACTACAATCTTGGGTAACATTAAATAAAAAATCTAGGGTTCAAATTTCCACTATTGTTTTATCCTTTAAAAATATTTTCTATAGTTTGTTTGAATCAGGGTCCAAATAAGGCCCATATATAAGGCAAATTCCATAGTTTCAGTTTTATTCCTAGGGTCTAATGATCTTGCATCTGAAAATTGACACTGGTCTTTTTATCCGTCTCTGTCTTTTTTAGGATGAGAAAACTTACCAGAGATCACTTGACTAGTTTATTAAAGATTAGAACTTAGACCTTCTGATAATCCCTGATTCTTCCTGCTTTTCACTTTAACCAGAAAATATTTTCAAGACATGCCTTTCTAGCTTTTGGGTCGCCTGTTCAGGGCCATGAGGTAGTGATGACATGGTGATCATTGCTCCCCGGCTACAGGGTCAGCTGTGAGACATGGCGATAAAATTATTGGTGCGGGCTTTCCTACAGGTATCCTTCACCTCCCCAGTCTGGTTCTCTTATTTGTAGAGTTCCTCATTAGCCATTCTGCAAGTCCTGCATTTATATACTGTTCCGTGTGTATGTATTTTGCTTATTTTTATGCAACAACATAGATAGAAACCACTCTGTACCAGTTCATAGTGATTTTCCTCAGTCTGTTTTTGTACTATTAGATTGATTAAAAACTTTTCTGGTATTTTGTAGATTTGATTCTTTCTTTAGGAAAAAAGACTCTCACATAGTAGGCTCTCTTAGCTTAGCACCAGAACCATATCTTTATGTTATTTGCTGCCTTCTGGGACCCAGGATGAGTTAAATTAGTTTGGTTATTGTGGCGCAAGATCTATCTGTTGGTAGGCCAGATTGAGATTTGGAAGGGGACCTTGGTCAGGACTTGGTGCCTGGCACTTAAATCTAAAAGAATTCTCATGATCCTTCCACTTGCTCTGACTGGATGATGAAATGTGCTCTTTCCTGTCTTCCCAGGCCCGCCAGCTTATCCTGCAGTATGGCTTAACTCTCAGTGACCTGGACCGACACCCAGAGGTAAGAGAGAGGGGGGCTGTTGTGTCTTCCTGTCTCTTTATGGCTGTCCCTTGTTCATGGGCTCTGCATGTCACATTGAGTTTGGAGAAAGGTTATTTAGCTATATTAGCTTTTTTTTCCTGGAATATGGATTATTAAACCTGACTGAAGTGACAAGTGGAGAGGTTGTTAGTGTCTAGTACAGTCCCGCAGTGTACCTGTGAGGGCTCAGAATGTGTGTAGTGAACAGGAATTGGATGAGCCCAGGTTGCTTTCAGGGCTTCCTGTGGTCCTTGTGCAGAGTTGTGAGAGGGAGCTTGCTCACAGAGCTTACCCCTAAATGGAGATAAGAAATAATCATCTGAGAAAACCAATGACATTTAAAGAGTAATTAAAATGAAGTTTTATGGTAAAGATGATCAAACAGGGGCCTCCCTGGTGGTGCAGGGGGTTAAGCACTACACTATGAAGCAATCCACAGCCTCTGCAGCATGAGTTCGATCCCAGGCCGGCCAGGGAGCAACACACATGGTGTAGCAGACCTCTCCTGTCTTGCCCGCTGCTCCCCTCAGCAGTGTATTTCAGTCATTCTGCCTGTTCTGCTTCCTGTTCTGTCTCTGGTGAATCCTCTCACCCTCTGCATCTCTGGCCTGTACCCCAGCTCTTGTATGCATAAATAAATAAATCTTTAAAAAAAAAAAGATGATCAAACACATCCAGAAGAGACTGAAAATCGATGAGGTAAGTTAGCATCTCATAGCTAGCACTTACCAAGCTCTTACTATGTACCTATTGTTGTGCTAAGTGCCATGCCTGTATTAAACTGTTAATCTCCAAGAGTCTTGAGATGCTACTATTATCTCATCTCACAGGTGTGAAGAAGTCACAGAGAAGATGAGCCATTTGCTTAAGGCCATGCATTTTCTAAGTGTAGAGCCTAAGTATGGATTTGGTACTTCTGCCTCTAGAGCAGTTCTCCTTAGAAGGGTTTTGCTGGAAGAGGCACAGTTTCAGTGAAGCTCTGAGATTTAAGTGTCAGGGGCAGGAAAGTATATTCTAGAGGAGGTAGATGAAATTCTCGGCAATCATGTGGGCATATGTGCTCAGTGCCGGGACCAGCTGGGGTGATTAGCACTGAGTAAGAGGAATGTGTTGGGGGGGTGGGGTGTGTGTGGGGGGGGAAACCATGCTGGATGAAAGCGTGGGGCAGGGTTACAGCACCTCCCAAACCAGAGGGAGGTGGGGCTTGATGGTGGTCTGGTAACTTTGTCATCATAGTACACATGGGCCTTAGAAGGGTTAGTATGGCTGATAGGTAGGACTTATTGGGAGATTTCTCTGGGCAGAGCTAGACACAGGCTGAATCAGCTGTGAGCAAAGTGGTTTGAACTAAAGGTAAGCCTGGCACCCAGGCAGAAAAGGTCACAGCTTTCCCAGGCCTCAGCATTGCCATGGTGCAGCCCTGCCCTTGGGTTAATGTGGGGGGTGGGGGGAGGGAAGGTAGGGAAGCAGTGTGAGCTGTGAATGCAGACAGTGGGTCCATTCATAAAAGAATGGACTCATGGGTGCCCAATGAAACTTTGTAGAATTCAGCACCCACCAAGCAACTTCTGACTTTAGCTTGAACTGAATCTGTATCCTGAAATGCTTTTTCCCTCTGAGCTTTTTTTTAATACTGCTCTTTAAAAAATACATTTGAATCTCCCATGTTGTTCATGCAGAGTGCCAGGGGTGATGGGAAATACCTAGCTTCTTCGATTTTGAACTTTGAAAGATAAATGAACCAATTTGTCCCTCAACTACTTTTCGAGCTGGTGATGGAGTTTTTTTTTTTTTTTTTTTTAATAGAGGGAGTGGTGTGCAAACCTCAGGTGCTTTGGTAGAGTTATTAGTGGGGGTGCCTCAGATAATTTCCAGTTCTGATCACATCAAATGTATCAACTTTGTACTTCAGGTATTTTCTTTCTTTTTTTTTTTTAAGATTTATTTAATTAGACATACAAGAACTGGGGTATAGGCCAGAGGTGTGGGGGCTGAGAGGATTCACCAGAGACAGAGTGGGGAACAGAACAGGCAGATCTACTGAAATACACTGCTGAGGGGAGCAGCGGGCGAGTCAGGAGAGGTCTGCTATGCCATGTGGGTAGCTCCCTGGCTGGGGATCGAACTCATGCTACAGTAGCTGTGGATAGCTTCATAGGTTGCTTCTTAACCCCTTGCGCCACCAGGGAGGCCCTACTTCACGTATTTTCTGTCTGCTCAAAGTTGACTGTGTTTTGGCCTTATTAGTACAGACTTCTGCATTAGTATCTCAGCCTTTTTTCCTTAATGCCCCCCAATTTCCACCAGTGAAAATTTAATATAGATGTAACAGATATGTATGTCTGTACTTGGGGGTGGTGCCGCCTATCTTTGAATTATGTACTCTCAGTAATTCCAGTTTGGTCACAGAGAAGCCCACCAATGGGAAGAGAATAATGTCCATGCATATGAGCTGCGCCCAGGCATGGATCCTAGGCCCTGTATTTTTTCTCCTGGTGACTCCAGGGGAAGAATTTGATCTTTCAGAGTCTTAGCATCCTGATTTGTTAAATGGGAATAATTATACATACCTAACAGAGCAACTGAGGATCTGATGAACTATTGCATAGTCAAGGTTAGCACAGTGTCCTCAAAAGCTCTTAGTGGTTTTTCTATCTATCCTCCCTGCCAACACAGATTGACCTCGCCATCGATGGTGCTGATGAAGTAGATGCTGATCTCAATCTCATCAAGGGTGGTGGGTGAGTGTTGTGAGAACTTTCTCGTTAAAGGTTTTCTGCCAGTTAATCCTTAGCAAGGCAGAATGGAATACAGAACAAATTACTGCTGCTGTGACATGTACATGAGTTTGTCTCTACGAGGATAGCATGTGACCATAGAGCCAACTTGCTGTTATTGCTGATCATTGGTAGCAACCTGGTGACTAGAAACCTGGGCCTCTTCGGTGAGATTATTCATTTTAATGGGTTCTCTTTGCATTCTTCAGCTGATTCAAACTTTAAATCTAGCCTCACATTACTAGGGCTAGGTTGTTAGATCTGTAGGCCTTAGTATGTGATCTTTTAAAGCTTCTCTTAACTTCTGTGGGCTATTAATGATGTATTCAAATCACATCATTTGGTGTTGCTTAAGTGTTGATTTGGGGGAGTTGATAATAATGAATGGAAAAAAGGTGAAATCCTGTTCTGTTTTTTACACTCAAGCAGAACTGGAATGTCACAAAATTTCTTTAAATTCTCATGTGCTCTCTCTACTTCATTACCCAAGACTGTTAATATCCCATAGGGCAAGTTGTTCAGACTTGTCCTTCTCAAGTTACAGAGAACCATACATGCTAAACTCAGATTACTTCATACACATGTTTCTGCTCAAAGGTATTCTGGATAGCACTGGGCCCAGCTGGAGTGGCAACGGTTGTCCAGTTTCCACATTTCTTTCAGACACAGACTAATGTTCCCACAGTCTAATTACTATAAGCAAATATGTCTTAGTCAACTTGGGCTGCCATATTAAAATACCGTAAACTGGATGGCTTAAACAATAGAAATTTATTCTCACAGTTCTGAAAGCTAGAATGTCAAGATCAAGATTTCAATAAGGTGGTTTCTATGAGGACTTGCTTCTTGGCTTGTAGACAGCCACTTTCTCCTTCTCACTGTCCTCATGTGGCAGAGGGAGCCAGCAAGTGAGCCCTCTGGTTTCTCTTTTTATAAGCATTTGAATCCTATCAGACCAGTACACACTCTTAATAAACCTCGTTTATCAATTCCTCAGAGGCCCCATTTCCAAATACAGTTACTTTGGAGGTTTGGACTTCAGCATATGAATTCGGGAGGGGACACAGTTCAGTCCATTGTATAACATGGGCTTAAGTATGTCCCTCCAAAGACTTAAAATAAGAATTTCTCTTGGAGTGCTAGAATTGAATGGATTTGGGTTTCCTGTATCTAACCTTAGTTCCCTGTTTTTCTTATTTCTGTGTTCATTCGCTTCTTCTCATCCCCAGAGGCTGCCTGACCCAGGAAAAAATTGTGGCTGGCTATGCTAGTCGCTTCATTGTGATTGCTGATTTCAGGTACAGTGTCCTGTATTCTGAACTGTATGATGGGGGCAGATTGGACCCCAGACCTCATCTCCGTTTTTATAGAGGAGGAAATAGAGAAAGGAGGGGATTATGTGACTTTCTATTTTTTTCTTAAGATTTATTTTTATTTATGCATACAAGAACTGGGGTGTAGGCCAGAGGTGAGGAGGTTGAGAGGATTTACTGGAGTCAGAGTGGGAAGTGGAACAGGCAGATCTACTAAGATACACTGCTGAGGGGAGCAGAAGGTGAGACAGGAGAGGTCTGCTGTGCCATGTGGATTAGTTACCTGGCCGGGGATTGAACTTACACCACAGTGACAAGCGAGAGCTTGATAGTGCTGAGACTTTAATCCCTGAGCTACCAGGGAGGCCCCCATATGACTTTCTGAGACTGATGGTTAGGAATTATGAGTGTCTTGAAGGATTTTTGTTTTGCCTTTTATACTGAAGATAGATGTTGCTATTTCATATGTCCATAGGAAGGCAGAGGAAATATCCCGTCAATACTTTTTGTCATGCTCTTTTTGTTAATAGAGCATGTATTCATATATCACTCATTTGATCCTCACAGGGATCCCCAGGAAGCAGGACGAACCCTGCCCACAGGCAGTGACTCAGCATTCCCTGCTTCCTCTGAGGTCAGGGATTGCCACACGAGAGGCTTGTGTTATGGACAGTCTTTGAGCAGACTTGGATTCTTTTCCAGGAAGTCTGGTAGAATGCACTGTGTTGAGTTTGTTAATTAAAAAATGTACTTGCTTATGAAATACATAGCTGTGGGAAGAACATAAATAATAAACACTGTGGGAAAAACATAAATAATACCTGTTTATTCACAAGCCGAACACAGAATTTTAAGATTTACTTCAGATTCTTTTTTTTAAAGATTTATTTATTTATGCTTATAAGAGCTGGGGTATAGGCCAGAGACGTGGGGGGTGAGAGGATTCACCAGAGACAGATTCACCAGAACAGAACAGGCAGATTGACCAAAGTTCACTGCTGAGGGGAGCAGTGGGCGAGTCAGGAGAGGTCTGCTGTGCCTTGTGGGTTGCTCCCTGGTCAGCCGGGGATCGAACTCATGCTGTAGAGACTGCAGATTGCTTCATAGTGAGGTGCTTAACCCCTTGCGCCACCAGGGAGGCCCCAGATTCTTTTTTTAAAGTAAAACATAGCCAGTATATTTGAAGCCCTGTACACTTGTCCCTCCTTGCTCTGTATACCTTCTCACTACATGTAGTTAACCCCATTCCGGAATTTGGTGTTTATCTGTAGTGTTGAACATCTTTACATTTATTGTTCTCTTATACTCTTCCTAGGAAAGATTCAAAGAATCTTGGGGATCAGTGGCACAAGGGAATCCCTATTGAGGTCATCCCAATGGCCTACGTCCCAGTGAGCCGAGCTGTGACTCAGAAGTTTGGGGGTGAAATTGAACTTCGAATGGCCGTCAACAAGGCAGTACGTGACTGGGAGTCTCTGGAGGGCATTTCAGGTTCTTGGTGTGCTTGTCTGCCTTTCTGGTTCACATAGGCCCTCTGCACCCACACTGCATAGTTGGCTTTTATTTACTTATATTTAATTGGTTTATTTATTTTTAGAGTGCTGGCTTTATTAGTTTCTGTATTCAAGACTTTACTTAATGCAGGGCATATCCTCTCTGCCAGTGGGGGAATGATTATTTTTCTGTCCTTTGGTGTCTGGTTTGCCTTGGGTGACCTGATCTTTGTACCTAGGGCCTGGACGACCCTGATGAACAGCTACTAAATGCTGCTTTGTTGTATACTTACTTCCTCCCCCCCTGCCCCCCCGCAGAAGATTTTTTTTCAGGTTTCATGATTTTTTTAAATATTTATTTGTTTGTTTGTTTGTTTGTTTATTTATTTATATAAGCACTGGGTACAGTCAGAAGCGTGGGAGGGTAAGAGAATTCCCCAGAGCCAGAGCGGGGAGCAGAACAGGCAGACTGGCGAAATACACTGCTGAGGGGAGCAGCAGGCGGCAGGAGAGGTCTGCGCGCCATGTGGGACCCTCACCCGGCAGCCAGGGATCGAACCAGTGCTGCAGAGGCTGCGGGCAGCTTCGCAACCCAGCGCTCAACCGCTGTGCCACCGGGAAGGCCCATTCATGATATTTTTTTTTCCCTCCTTTTCTCATTTTGTGGCTAAATGGGACAAGAAGTGGAATTTCTTGGGGCTTTTGAACTCCTCCTTAGAAATATTCTCCAGATAGTTAGCCCAAATGTTGTAGCTACTAAAGTGGATTGCACAGAACTTTGTTTTTCTTACACTGAAGCAGAATAAATTGATCTAAAAGCTAATTAAAGTTACAGGCGTAACAATAGAAAGTTAGGAAAATACAGAAAACAAATTATTTATAACTCTACCCTAATAGACTTTTATTTTGATGTGTTTTTGTCCCGGTGTCTTATGATTGAAAATTACAGTCCTAACCATAGTAGTTGTACAGAACTCATTGTAACTGAAATGCCAGGAAAAGATGGATGGAGTTCTCTCTCCCAGCTGGGGACACTGTAGACAGACACACCCTAGCATCCCACTTTGAGACACTCCTTACTGAGCTCCCATACCTTCTCCACCAGTTTGCAGGGGAGTTCTAGTTTCCCTGCCTGGACTGTAGTGTTCTGTCAACATTTGCGATCCTAAGTGCTTGCATCTGCCCAGAACTATTGTGGAATTTTGGATTAATTCACTGAAACTTCCACCTCCCTATTTGGCCTAGAACCTCAGTTTCCTGTCTTTATGTTGGGACTTCCTGATCAGTGGGAAGTGCTGGGTGAAATAGCATTACCCTGTTTTACATTGTTGAAAGCACTTACTATGAAGCTGTGACAATTTTGTGCCATGTTGGTAGCCTGGGTTTTTTTTTTTTTTTTTTTTTTTTTTTTCCAGTTTTATACTAGCTAAGAATTAGTGAGTCCTCCCTGGTAAATGCATTGCCCGTATTATCTGTATGTAAGCTGCTTTATTGTCCTCCTTTTGCACATGAGGTATCTGAGGTTCACAGGAAATAATTGTCTTGTAAGATCTGTACCTGTGCGGCATCAAGTCTCAAATCCTGGGCCTCCCCAGTGGCGCAGCAGTTGAGCGCTGGGTTGCGAAGCTGCCCGCAGCCTCTGCACCTCTGCATCACCGGTTCGATCCCCAGCTGCTCCCCAGCCACTGGAGGAGGGTCCCACATGGCACACAGACCTCTCCTGCCGCCTGGTGCTCCCCTCAGCAGTGTGCTTCGGTCCTTCTGCCTGCTCTGTTCCCCGCTCTGGCTCTGGTGAATTCTCTCACTCTCCCGCGCTTCTGACTGTACCCAGTGCTTGTATAAATAAATAAAAATAAATCTTTAAAAAAAAAAAAAAAGACTCAAATCCTGACTCCAGAGCTCCTTCATAGCACTGCCTTCTAGAAAGCACGAGGCAGGAATACTGGTTGGAGTGGGTTAATTTAGATACTTGTCTTTGGTTGTCTCCTCCACTCCTGCCCCTCTCTGCCTACCTGTATCTATGTTCTTGGTCACTGTGGAAAACTGTCTTCTAGGGTCCTGTGGTGACAGATAATGGGAATTTTATACTGGACTGGAAGTTTGACCGAGTGCACAAATGGAGTGAAGTGAACACAACCATCAAAATGATCCCAGGTAACATGTGTGGTGGTCACTGAGCAGATGTGCATGCCTTCTGTAACTGTCCTGCCCTCCCTCGCTGCAGGAGGCATGATGGACAGGGGTTTTTTCAGACTTGGTTGGAAAGAAGAATTTCCTTAATATGATGTTTGGGGTTTCTAACTTTCACACCTTTGCCTTTTCCCCAGGAATAATTGTTGCTCACCTAACATCTTTGTTTGCATGTTTCACAACCCACTTTTGTAGGGAGAAGCCTGGTGCTGATAGTGTCAGAGGGGGCTTATTTTGAGATATGCTCACCCTCTATGCATTGAATCCTTCCTTCCAGGAGCTTGACTGCAACCCCTTTGACTGGGGCAGTGACTCCTTGCACTCATGTTCACTGGGTACATACCACAGGCAGGATGCTGTGCCACATGTAATCAGTTCTTCCATGTGCAACCTGTCCTCAAGGAGAGTTGATGTAAATCTGGGAAAATTGTGTGGCGGTGTAGGAGCCTGCGAATAAGATGGAATGTGCTCAGTTCTGCTAGTGGAATACCAGGAGTCTGGAGTGCAAAGGGTTGCTTCCTTTGTGGAATATAGGGGATTCCCTTAGTGGGGAAAGGTGGCTTTTGACCTGTGCATCAGCATAGCGTAACCCAGATGCTGCTTTCTATGTTTAAAATGTGTCATTTGATTACTCATTTAATGAGATAGTTATGGAGGAGACACAGATTGAGAAAGGTTAAATGATTTACACATCTGCAGCACCATAGTAGATGCCTTGGTTGTCTGCTTCTAGACCCTGAAGTTTTAGTCCTATTTCCTTGCGAATCATGTTGAGGAGTTGTGTGACATGTACATTTGGAGCAGTGGAGAGCTTTAATTGCACCCGGTGCTAAGGAATGATGGAATTGGAGGCTGGATCTGGGGCCCTGGGTGGAGGAGGCTGGGTAGACAGTGTAGAGGTGAGTTTTGAGTCCAGGCCGGAGGTGGTGTTGAAGGGATTAGAAGGAGAAGACAGTCTTACAATAACTAATTAAGATATTGACTAAGATTCTAACTGGGAATATTCCATGATGTGGAGCTGGCCAGAAGTGGCTAATGGGGTAGGTGAGGCCAGGTTAGCAATAGTGGCTAAGAGTAGATTCTGCAACAGACTAAGGATCCTACCTGATCTTTGCTCTGTCAGTGTAACTTCTGAGCAGTTTGTGAACATCTCTGTACCTTAGTTTCTTCTTCTACAGAAGAGGCTAATTCTAGTACTCCCTCATCAGGTTGTTGGGAGGATGCATAGTATCTTCACTGGTAAATATGCTAGACTCTAAGTTATCCACATTATTTTGGAATGAAAATGGTATGAATATGTGCCATGTGAAGAGCTAATTCCTTTAGTTTGCTCTTTTAGTCTCCTGTTGACATTATTTTGTCAGATTTAAATAAAAAAGATGAGTTATACTTACTTTCACTTAGTGTTACCTTTTTAGTGGAAGAATTAAAGAGTCAGGAAAGCAGGAGGAAGATGAAACATAGAGGTCGCTGTTCTCAAAGTGGAAAAATTTGCCCCTAATGATAATGCAGACAAACCCCAGGGACCAGGTAGGAAACCACTCACCACTGTTGGCGCTGTTCCTCTGTGGTGGATTTCTTGCAGTGCCCACTAGGTAGCTCTGTTGCTCCTTTCAGACCTTCCTTGGCTTATTGAGACGAGATGTCCTTGTGAGGAAATCTCTCCCATGCTTTGCCCTCTGCCTGTCAGCAGAGGCTATATCCAAGGAAGGTCAAAGAGGCTCGGTATCAGTCAGTACAGTGTCACCAGAATCATCAGTGTACCTTGTTTTCTCTGTTCTCTTCCCAACATCATCCATTATAGTATTTGCTGCTGGATGAAGATTAAGGGAAGAGAAACACAGCACGATTTCTGTCTGTATCTGTCACCTTACTCTTGGCCCATACACATAGGTATATGTGAGGGCACTTAGGGTGCAGCTGACCTGTTCATGACTGGTCACTCCCTTGGATGTCCCATTGGGTTCCACCGGAGCAGAGAGACCACGGAAGCTTCAAAGCTAGTAGAATTCATTCACACTGAGCCACCTCTGCCCTTGACACTGTTTAGAGGGGTTGAAGTCAGGTGGGAGTTAATCTGGTCACTCCCAGCATCTCAGTACTGAGGGGAGGTTGCTTTAAGGTTGGTCCCTAGACTACTGCCATTCATCTTTTCATTCGTTGAAACCTTTTCTACATCTGATTTGACTTTCTCTTGGATGGGGTGGAAACTGGTCCCTTATATTACAGAATTTCTGAAAAGGGTGGCTCTTGAGTGGCCATCTGCTTGTCTCTGGGAGACTAGTCTTGTCGGCACAGTGTAGTGACCTCTGTATTACAGCACTGTTTCTCTACCGGGCTACCTTTGGTTGCTGATAGATACTTTGGAACTGTCTTTTGGAATTTATTATTTATCCCTTCAAAATTTTGCAGTTCAGAAGTATGTAAGAGACTTATACCCCTCCATCTTTTCCTGTCTGAAGGCAGCCAATGTTACCAAAATTGTGTTTTGACTTTGAGTTGGTCTTTGATAAAAGAAAATCAAGCCCTCCCTACCCCACCCCTTTTTATATAAGTGGCAGTACACTAGATGCATGTTCTGCTTCCTACTTTTTGCTGTCTTTGAGATTATTACATAGTAGTTCAAAAAAAGAGCTTTCTCATGCTTCTTTTTAAAATAACTGCATTATATTCCCCTTTATGATTATTTCATAATTTATTTAACCAGATCCCCACTAGTGGATATTTGTTTCCAGTCCTTTGTTAGAAGGCAATTACTCGATCAGAAGATAAGTGTATCTCATTTTGCTAATGATGCTAAATTGCCCTCTATGAATTGCTCCAGGTGCTGCTTTCCCTGCACATTGGGTACAGCAAACTTTTCCTTTGACAGTTGAACAGTCTAATCTCATCATAGTACATGTGTGTATGTATACATGTTTTTGGAAAAGGATGTTTGCAGTAGTAGCTAATTCTCAATCTGAATGGTATCCATCATATTTATATGTGTGAAAAAAATATATTCCTTATATTCTTGATCTACGACCATCTACTCTTGATGGAGATTTCTAGTTTTTAGGTGTTAGGGAAAGTGCTGCTGTGACCATTCTTGTACATATCTTTTGATGGCCATATGTATGCTTAACAGTTGTACCTAGCAGAATTGCCTAGTCATCAGAATGCGTATGTTCAGCTTTAGAAGATGGAATAACATTTTCTATAGTGGTTTTGCCAATTTACTGCCCTGTCAGTGTGTGGGAATGTTTGCATTCCGAGTCAACTTTCATTGTATCCATTCTGGTGAGTGTACAGTTGTGTCTTACATGTGTGTAGTTGTAATTTGTGTTCCCATTTGACTAACTGGTTTGAACACCACTTGTAATGTTTATTGGCCATTTTGAATAGCCTCATTTGAGAAGCACCTCTGTAAGTCCTTTGCCCATTTATCTACTAGGTTCTTACTGGTTTGGAGAATTGTTTTTTATTTTGATGTGGTCCTTCGTTGGGTTTATTATGCATTGCAAATATCTAACTACACTTGGGGATGGGGAACTAAGGCTGATAGTATTACCAAAAATAACTGGGTGGGGGTTATGTAGAGTAGTATGGAGGACATTGTTGAAAAGACAGCTTGTCCTCTGATACCCCTTAAAGCACTAAAAGATGACTTACCCAGACAAAGAGAATAATGTGAGCAAAGGCCCTAAGGCAGGAAAAGGCTCCACAGTCAGCATGGCAGGGGCGAAAGGGATTTCTAGAAAAAAAATAAAAAGAATCTCTTTTCATTGTTAGGCAAGAGGGAAAGGCTTGAGATTTGCCCAGTGCTACTAATGTCTTTGCTTCTACTGACCCTGTCCTGACATCATCGACTCTCTTATCTTGGAAAACTGAAACTTAACATTTCTTTTGTTCTGCAGGCGTGGTGGACACAGGCCTGTTCATCAACATGGCTGAGAGAGTCTACTTCGGGATGCAGGATGGCTCAGTGAACATGAGGGAGAAGCCTTTCTGTTGACTCTGCGGGAGTGGAGTGTGCTCGCCTTTAGTCTCCAGCCCACGGCCCAGGTGGACGTGCCTCTCCAGGAGCCTTTGCCTTAATGTATCTGTGCCAGGTGACAACTGGCAGGGGTGGGAGTTTGGGGGGTGTTAAATCCAGTCTTATGAAGTATTATTATTGTCTTTTTAAAAAAAGAAATATAGACATATATATTTTTACTATTAAAAATACTCATTTTTTTTTTTATGAAGTAGAACTTGATTTCATGTTTTATAAAAAACATATACCAAAAAAAAAGAGAGGGGGACTATGTTAAACTTTTAACTTGAGTCTGCTGGTTAAGCTTCTGAATATTGGGTTTGCTGAGAAATGTAAATCAAAACTTTTCTTTAAACTGGTGAAATGAAGGGGCCCGTCCAGCAGTGATTTCCTTGATGCCTTACTGGAAACATTGATGAGTTTGTTTACTTGTCTTCCACACTCTGTTTTGTTGTAGTTTTCATTGTGACCACGCACAATACCTATTACGTATTTTAAGATGAGGTTTACAAACATCTGGCGAGTGGAGCAGTGTGGGGTGTAGTGACTCAAAGTGTAAACTATCGGAGAAAATGTGATTGTTCTTTTGCTAAGATCAGGGGATTCATTTAGGCCCCTGTTGTTGGACGCTATTGGCCAGAAATACTTGCCAGTACTGCCAAAGCACTGCTGTGAAATGTGAAATACTTTTAAATGATTGTCTTTTGTTGTTAACAGTTTGTTCATTCCTTTGTTATTACTTGCATGGTTCGGCATCAGAAGTTGTCACCTCTTTATATTGTTGAAGATTGAAATAAAATAGTATGGTGCCATTTCGACTCTGTCTTTACTGTAGAATGTGCCATAGTTTTGCAACAAAATTGGAATAAATTTTACTTACCTAGTTTATGTCAGATCTTTAAAGGGTGGATGGAATTCACTCAAGAAATCTTGAGCCAAAGACTAGATAATATTTTCTTTCTTTTATTTTTTTTTAAGATTTGTTTATTTATTTATGTATTTATTTATTTATTTATTTATTTATTTATTTATGCAAGCACTGGGCACAGTCAGAAGCATGGGAGGGTGAGAGGATTCCCCAGAGCCAGAGTGGGGAACAGAACAGGCAGACGGACGAAATACACTGCTGAAGGGAGCAGCGGGCAGCAGGAGAGGTCTGCGCGCCATGTGGGACCCTCACCCGGCAGCCAGGGATAGAACCAGTACTGCAGAGGCTGCGGGCAGCTTCGCAGCCCAACGCTAAACCACTGCGCCACCAAGGGAGGCCCCTATTTATTTCTGAGACAGCTTGCTATCAGTTTTGTTCCAGAGACCTTTGTCAAATAAGACATTGATTTTCCTTGCTAAGGGGAAGATAACAGCTGAACAAAAGTCACAAATTATCCCTAAGTTGTATGTTAGTCAAACCTTTAGTCATGGGAACTAATGAGCAATAAAATGGGTACCTGAATTTCCTCTTGCTTCTCTGCACTCTAATCTTTGCAGTATGCCCAGTGAGCTGTGAATTGTCTTCAAATCTCATACACAGAGACCAGAATGGCTATGATCAGCTCAGTGATAATTCTAGACGGGACTCAGGAATCTGTCTCAATGGATACAAGTTTATGCTGAGGACCCTCGTCTCCACTTGCTGAATTTTCACAATACTTGGAGTAGTCATTTCACTGGGGTTGTCCTTTTTTTGAAGCATGATTACAGTTATCAAACTTAGCTACTTAATTCCTGTTATATCAAATTCTAGAATAAAAGTTAATGAGGACTGAGCATTGAAGAAGTTTTCTCTGACTTGCTGAATTCCTTCTCTTTTTCTTCAGTCTCAGGTACTTTTTAAAAAGCATCACTTTACACATGTTTAGGACACTTGTGGTTAGGAGTGTTTTATTTTTCAAAACTATTTTGACCTGGATGATAGGCAAGTTTTGCATAAAATGGGCACTTGTTCTTAGCTGAGAAAACTTGCTAGAACTGATTACTTTGAAATGTTCCTTTAAAGCTCTTGTGGTATGGATTAAATTCAGGGATAAAGATAAACAACAAAGTTAAACTAGTTCTGACAAACACCTGCACGCTCTATATCACATGTAAATTTTCAGCAGGTTTTACGGCATTGGCACCTGTGAGCAAACTGCAGTTCCTGTAAATATTAATATGAGGTTTTTATCTTAAAAAAACACCCACTGCTATGTTAGCCTCCCATACGACAGTTTGTTTTGGAAGTCAATTTTGATTAAAGTGTCTTCAATAAAATAAGTTAAGATAGAAAAAATATAGGCTGTGATCAGTCAGAGGGGCAAAGGGCAGGCTGTAAGGTATTTGGTAAGGTGTATGACCAGGTTTAAGCTGTGCTTTTCTGTAGCCTCCAAGCGGGGAAATCATTTGAATTTAATTAAAATCTGTTCCACTTGAGTTTTAGCTAGAGTTCTTCAAGTTTTGATACTCTGTTCAAACTTCGAGTCCCCTAACCCATGCCAGTTCTAATTGAGGGGACAAGGATGGGACGGAGATGAGTAAGATACCTCCTGTGTCCTGGCTTACTCTGTGCTCAAGATGCTTCTAGCCTGTTGGGGAAGACAGGCAGGTTGACAGAGGAATGATGGAGGAGCCACTTGAAGGAATTGCAGCGTAGCAGGAAGGAGGTGGCCTCCGATGGGGAAAAGGTGGCTTAGCAGGTGGCTCTGACTATAAGTACCTACCTGTCATTACTTATTGTGGTTAGGTGCTGTTCTGGGCCTTTGGCCTGTTACATCACTGCAACTTGATGGTATTGATTCTTTTAATTTGCAGAGTGAGCAGTTTAAGCAACTCGTTCAGATAAGACCTGGAAGGGAGGCCATATTTCTCTTGCTCCTAATTCCAGGTGGTTTTTGGACTCTGAATAGCTTGTGCTCTTTGTTGCATACATCATCTATAACTTGTGTCCCAGGTAATTTGTTAAAATACTGAAACTAGTGAAATGGTTTATCTATAATATGTACAGCCTCATGGATAATCCTATAATACTAGTTTGTTTTATGATGAGCTTGCTTTAGAGGAAGAGAACATTAAACAGCCGAGTGAAGGACCATGGGAAGGTGCCCTTTGTAGAAGTCACCTTTGCCTGCCACCATTTTCTCCTCTCCTGTACTGGTTTCCTTTTTTCCCTTTCCCAGGACCTGGGGAAATACGCACAGTGGCAAGTATAGGCATCACTAGCCTGGAAAGCAGTATTTTTGGCTAAGGGTTGTTAGTTTCCATTAACCAAACCTTTGGGAGCACTTAGTTGAGCAGAGTTGGTTTTATTGACCCATTGTATGAGGGAAGTCACAAACTATGCATGTCTCAGAGGGTGTTAGGACTTCCAAGTTTGGGCATATGTTTGATACTTTCAGGGGTGGGTTCAAGGATGCAGGACTATGCCCTGGATTAAATGTCAGGAAGCAGAATTCTGGGATCAGGTATCTTAATTTTTGTTGAGAAGGTAAGAATAGAGCATTGCTAAAGCTGAGATTGGAAAAGAAACAGCCATTGCTTTTTAGTCAGGAGAGAGGGATGTCTTATTTTGAGGCTTGGGCGATGTTTATGTTTTGTCTGAGTTCAGATGATTACCAAGTCGTCTGGTTTTTGTCTTCCGCAGTCACAGAGTGGCCTGGTCTGATGGTTCTATGAAATTGTTTGTTCCACAGGAAAACACAACAGCATGGCTGAAGGTGCCACACCAGCTCATAGAAACACTGTAGCCTGAAAATAGAGCTGGGCTGATTCCCAGCTATTAGGAGCTGCATTTCTTTCTCAGGACATAGTGACCCCAGGATCCAAAAGAAATCCTCTGGATCCTCGAATTCTTTAATTAGTTCTTTCTTTTGATTGACAGGTATTGAGCACTTGCTATATACTGGGCACTGGGTTAGAGGGATTAGGCCATCAATACCCAGTGATGTGAGTTCAGCCTTCAAAGACTTCACTGGTGCCATGACAACTGTGTCTCATAGCTTTCTTCTCAAATGCCTGAGTTTGCTCACTTCCTGTCATACCTAGCAGCTCTAGCAGCCGGATTTAGGATTGCATCAGCCTTCACTCTCCACTGACTCAGTAATCAGATGATGTTTTTGACATAGGTTCAGTGCCTTTGCTTTTTTAGGATAGCAAAACACTCCAATATAGCCTAGCATTCAAATGTGCTCAAGTTGAACTCTGTGAGTAAACATCTGTAATGGTGCTTTGAGAGGGTTGGAAGTGTGGGCAGTGGGCTGGAGGTAGAGTCCAGACGGGGAGAGAAAGGTCTTCCCTGGAAAGGCAACCCCATGAATGTTATACAGACACATGAATGAATTAAGTTCAGTGTTGTAACCCATTCTCTTACGCTGGATCACTGAGAACCATCTCTGCTCAACAGCAAGGCTGGGGAGGGGGCAGCCCCATCTCCAGGAACTGAAGCCTGGCTGTCTGCATTTCTCTGTTTTGGCCCAGTTGTAATAAGATCCCTGAATGTCTATCTCCGTGATGACAGAAAAAACTACATTTTGAAGGAGTCTCCCCAGGATCTTGCATATCCCAGCCTGAGTTTTAAATAGGAGAGTTGTACTCATCACTCATTTTATTCAGAAACTGTTCTTAGTGAAGGTTTGGACCAATCTCTAGTCATGACTTTGGAAGGTTCCAGAGTTCTGATCTAAGTTTAACCAAACTTGGCTCTTGTTCCTCTGTGCCAGTGGTGCTGCTCCTGTTTCTTTGTGAATCTTCCAGAAGTATTTACAAGGTAAAAACCCACCAGAAGCAAGCATCCAAGGCAGCACAGGTATGGTTAAGAATAGCACTGACCCCTGGAAATGTGAGCTGCATGCATAATTTTTTACATGTTCTAGTAGTCAAACTAGAAAGGTAAGAAAAATAGGTGAAATTAATTTTATTTTTTTGTATTAATTTTTTAAAAATTAATTTTAATAAAATAGTTAACCCAACAAATCTAAGATACCACTTTTGTAACATGCAATCAATATTTCACTTTTTTTTAACTACTTAATCTTCAATACGCAGTTTGTATTTTCCTTCAGTACCTCTCATTTTGGACTAGCACATATCAAGTGCTCGATAGCCACACGTGGCCAGTGGCTCTAGTATCGAAGAGCACACTTTTAAAGTTTAAGGGGGAATTTTGGTGATGTCCTTGCTCTGGCTTATTTAAGGCTCCTTTGACTATTAGAGCAAGCTGGGATTTTGCTGGGGCCTTGGGTGTTACTTAGAGCCCACACATAGTTGCATCAAATGCAGGGCAACCCCAGCCCCACTGTGAGACCATCTGTGCTTCAGGATCACCTTCTTGACCTTGTAAGTGGCCTTGACTTGGGAAAGACATTACTACTTCATCACCTGTGTTAAATGATTTTTAAGATAAACTATTTTGTTCTGAGAGGTAAGTATGATTAAGATAGTGATCTTCATTTGAAATTCCACTTTTCCACTTTGTAGCTTTTGGAAAAGATATTTCACCTATAGGCTTTGATTTCTTCAGGGTAAAGAGGGTATGATCATAATATTTTAGGTTTGCTTCAAGGATTAAATGAGCTAATTTATTCCAAACGCTTACAGGAGCCATTGACACAGCACTTAATAAATGTTTATAATTACTAGTAGACTTTGTGGACTTTTATTTTCTAGATTCCTTAAGATTAAGAACATTGGGCTGGGCAAAATGGCTCACTGAAAATAATTTGGAAGGGTGCATTGGATAGGGACACCATGAGCTGAGTCAGATACATGGAGACTCATTGCTCTCTTCATTTATATGTATAATTATTTCCATAATAGAATTTTTCTTAAAGTGGCTTGCCAACTT